CCGGTTGATGTGATCAACTTTCTGTTCTAAATGGTGCCTCAAGGAAGCCGACTTCAAAAAATACCCAAATAAAACAGAAGCAGCATATACTCGACAGAGCTGGAGCTTTCGTACTTTAGTAGGGGCCCAATTGTCGGTCACGTTTGACTTTTCTTTCCATCCTAGAACAGTGGTAAGATGTTCCCTAACCATTTCCAGCACTTCGCAGCTATGGATAGACTCAAGTTCCCAGTCCCTACAAGGCCATATCTCAAGTCTGTCATTGTACATGCATTTCGAAAGCTTGGGAACCAAGTGCACTCTCATTCCAGAGAACTTGTAAGATATTAGAATGTACATAATGTCTTCGACGGAAGCTTGACATTCCAGCTCTTTTACTTCAGCTATTCTCCTGGCGTAACATCATATTCAAATTTCAGTAAATCTAGTACAGAAGAGACTAGATAGTCTATATCTAGATGAACAAGTATCAGGTAATATAACGATGAATCGTCCAAACAACTACTCCTACCATCATTGCGCAGCAACCAGCATTTACCTACTATTTTAATCATTTGGATGATGAGTTAGACACCTAAATAATGGCTATATCAGCTCCCGCAGGTGGTTCCATTTCATAGTTGAATTCCTCACATAAGTGTTGCAAAAGTAAAATAGAATGAAGAGCAAAATCAAGAACTCATACTTTTCCATGACATTTTAAAAGCAGTCCTAACTTTTTAAAGCATTTTTTTGGTTGATAACTGTGGTGTCCGGGCAAGTTTCCGCGTATCTCGACTAGTTCCACAAGGTACCTATTACCTACCACCAACACAGGTAACAGACAATTTTGTCCACCAAGACTTAGAAAGATGGGAAGAAATCACCTAGTGTTTTTGCCTTCCGATTTGAACCTGAGACATTTTTGAACTTTATCCTCCTTTACTTTTCATGACTAGTCAAGAAAGCTTACAAAATGTCATAAAAAATGTGTCATACTTTTCCATGACATTTTAAAAGATGCCCTGACTTTGTTGAACTTTATCCTCCTTTACTTTTCATTGACTAGTCAAAAAAGCTTCCAAATGTCATCAGAAGAGTGAGTTTGTTCAATTTTGATTTTTTTTCCTTTTGATAAGGTAATTGTTCGATTTTTCTTTCCTGTCCCTATCTAAATGCATTGCTGCATCTCTCCCTCCTAGCATTGCTCTAGTATATTGCTTTCCCAGAACATGTCATGCCATCAGATGAACGCATACATAAGCTTGCAGCCAAGACCTAAGCTTGAACACGCCTCAAGAAGTGATATCAAGCGACGAGCAATTATTTAATCAGTAAGCAGCAAGCAAATCTAGTGCATACAGAAAACAATATCAAAATCTACTGCATACAGAAAACAAGGAACTGTTATGTATGTTGGAATATACTATAAGTCTTAGGCTGCACCGATATCTACTTGAAGATTCTCGTAAGGAAAGATGATATACATAGAGCATCTACAGTTCAAACGTCAAATTCAAATGTATTACTGTATGATACATGTCCATGCAGTATTCCCATATGTATTTTGTGGACTATATGGCTGGAAAGAAACAAGGCATGCTTTGAAGGGAAGAGGTGCAGATTGCTAGAGCTAAAAACAAATGTATTAAGAACTTATTTTTCCGGTGCTTTAGTAAGACACTAGATACGATGGATCATTATTTGGATTTTTTTGCATTCTTGGGGGAAAACATGGAGCATGATGGGGGATCTGTTGTAGATTCAAAGTTTGATTTCTGTACCATCTTGGTACCTTTTTTAAATAAAAGCCTTTACTTATTAAAAAAAATGATACATGTCCATTTTTTAGGTTTATCTGAAGCTACAGGTTATTGCAATAAAAATGGACTTAACATCAGCATCCGACATCACATTTATCAACTCATGTCATCATTGGGTACCTCTATCCAAGTTTCTGAAAGTTCCATTCCTACGAAAATATTTCTGGGAATGAAAAATCAATTAGCAAATTGCATCATCAATTACAACTTTGCTAACGGCAGTTACAAATTAGTCCATATCTATAAGCAAAATAATCTCTAACAATGACGTTGAGGATAATGACCGACTGAAGCAAAAGCTTCTCTTTATGATATTGCTTTGCCTTAAAAATGCAGTCTAAAGGTAATGTAGTTCAAAGGCACTTACTGACACATGGTGATCTTTCTTCAATTGAAAAAAAAAAAGATCTTAATCAAACCAAACCAAGAAACTCATATGCTATTATCATTTGACACAAAATAGTAATTGAAAGTTTCTATTGCACCTCATCCTGTCCTTTCTGATGGCATCAGCACAAGGAATTCATCTTAACTGCCAATAATTGAAAAAAGAGAATGATGATAACATGCTCAACCTTCTTAAGCATTTTTAAGAGAAGATAGTCGATAGAATCTTTCAAAATGTGGAAGAGGAAGGCGGATAGAGCTGAATTACGGATTTTCTTTTATAAGTAGAGCTAAATTATGGATTCAGAGAGAGAGAGAGATTAAATTGGTATTTTCAACTTCAAGTAAATATTTAAGTGCATGTATATATCTTCCAACTCTTCCATTAATTTAGAGGTTGGTTGAGTGTTTGATCGTACTAAGTTTTGATCCAAGCCTCCAACAACTGTTGTCCAAGTCTATCCAGTTGAATCCTCCTCTTAACATGTAACAGCCAAAAAATCAAGGATTTGGTAAATAATCATTCCTATTACTCTCTACCATTATATTCAGTATCTAAAACAAGAAACTGACACTTATATGCGAGATTCAGAAATTTTATGTACCTAAGAAACAAAATCACTGAATGTACTACCTACCCAAATTCATGTAAACAAGTCTATTTCAGTCTTATACTTCAGGCTTACACTACAAGTACAATTTAAACTCTAGATTTCCAATCTTCAAGAGAAGAGAGGCCGTGGATTTACACTGGTCTACAACAGAACTTTGAAAAGTTGAATGCTGCACTGGGCCTTTGCCGTTTAACCTTTAAACTAAAAAATTACAAGAAAAGGTGGACATCAAAGTGAAAATAAGAACTATAGAGATAACTGAAACACACAACGGTGTGGCTGAGCAGTCACCGAAGCAAAAATAGATATCTCATCCGGCCTTGATAGACAGAGTTAGCTGATATATGTGTGATCTTTAATTGCTGGTCCCAACCACCTATCGACTATCTAAAGATTATACAAATAACCCCATATGTATAGGGATTCGTACTGCTACTGCCAACCTATGTTGCGCGAACTCTCCAAAATGCTGCTACACCTGTGTCCTCCAAAAATACACTACTTTTGGAGGATCTGACACACACACATCCTATATAGTCGGAGAGTCCGAGCAACGAGCAACATAGCAGGCAGCAGCCAACCCAAAATTAGGGCTTTATTGTTGTAGCAGGGGACAATCAAAGATAACAAAAGCCAAGTACTTACATAAAGTATCATAAAAGGAAAAAGCACAGTGATAAGCACCGCAAAAGAGGAGATACATTGAAAAAAGAAAAATAAAGTAGCACGAACCTATGGAGAAAAGCTTCATCAGAGCCGAAGCTGAGATTAATCCGAGCCAGAGCTTCATCTCGGTCATACGCTAACTGCTCCAACTGTTTCTGAACAACGACATGAAAGTTGTTGCGATCATTCAGAAGCACAGTGCTCAACAACCTCCCCGTCGGTGTAGTCGGTACTAGTGGTGCGTTTAAACCACTAAATTCACACTTACTACTACTATTACCACTGGCCACTACAAACAACGATCTCCTACTACCGACAGAAGAACTCGTAAAGGGCGAATTCTTGAAAGTAAAACGGGTTGATGATGATAACAAAGTAGTCTTCACCGTAAAAAGTAAGGATTGGTGAAGAGAAATTTTGGAATAGGAGAGGCCACAGTCCATTCAACAAGCTATTGGCTAAAACCCTGTTTGACAAATTACTACTTAGTAGGAAACAGAGAGAGTTTATTATATAAGATTTTGTTTGATAATTTTGGTAATGGGGATTGAGGAGAAGGATGAAGAGTAGATAAGTGGAGACAAAGGATAAGGACGGTGACTTATCCTAATCAGGCTTCATTTATGGCCAACTTGCAAAAAGGTCAAAAAATACTCCTACTTCTCTTGTGATTGGGTCCTTCCAGAAGAAAAACTGGTGTATAGGAAATTTATCTATATTTTAGAGAGAATATATGTACAGTAAAATAATTCAGATTTGAACCAAAAAAGTAATAATAATGCAGATTCCTCGAGATCCGTGGTATTCTATGTTTTTACTTGAGGGAAAAAAAGAGGTACATCTTTATTTTATGCATTCATTCCATTTTTATGGGTTTGGAACTAGAGTAACGCAAAATTTATTTCGAAAAATAATATTTAAAAAAAAAACAAATGTATATACAGTGCATGTTTGATTTGACTCGCATGCTTGACCAAGCATGCACTATACGAGCATAACCAAACGTCTGAGGCTAACGAACTTTTGGTCATATTTGATTTGTATACTTGTCATGCATTATACAAGTCAAACATGACCAAACATTCGGATGTTTGGTCATGCTGGTATAACACATGTCATGCATGCATTATATGTATATTAGTTCTTCCTTCTCTTTTCGTATTACTTTAGTTTTTCGAGTTGAATTTTGCATTATTTTGGTTTCGAAATCCCATTTTTTGTATCCTTTGAATCTGCATGTAATTTCCTTTTCACCTCATCTCACTTTATTTTAAACATTTTTCTTACAGCTAGATTTGTTTACATTAACAATTGAATTACTAGAAAAAAAAAATTTAACTGGATAAGACTATTCAAACCCACTCACAACTATTCAAATGTCATCTCCTTTTTCTTTTTAAGTAGAGAATTTTACTACCAAAGGAATATGTACAATTATAACTGAAACTCTATAGTTGGGCAGATGGCCCAAACCCGAGTTCAAGATAAGTCAGTATCTCATCTTATCTCCTAGCATCTATGTTTAGTTAATAAATATATATTTAAGGATAAAAGTTGAAATTGTCATCTCTTTACTATTCAAATTCTCTAAGTTTGAAATTGAAATAATGAACCAAGTTGTTAGACTGACTTTGAATTGCAAATAATTTCAAGTTAAAATTAAAAAAAGGAGATAATTCTCATGGCCAAATAGGCAAACGACTAGATACGTATCAGACATTATAAACATTAAGCGTTCTTTGCAATGCTCAACTGCGATCAGTTGAAGCTTCTTGTATTTATTTTATTCTATTGGGCAAAGTATCACATCGAATTTCGAATTTGAAATAACCTAATTAATTTGAATTCTTGATCTGTGAAAACAATAAAATAATATTTCATCAGTCTAATTTTATGTGACAATTAAGGTCGTAATTTAGTTTATTATATTATATTAGTAGCAATGGAAGAAAATAAGTTCTATAGAACTTAATTTGAGAGAGAACTGAAAAGATACGTGGAGTACTCTTAGGGGTTCGTTTCGTTTGAAAACAAGTTATGCTGAGATTAGTTATACTGGTATAATTTCTTATTAATTTGTTTGGTATGTTTCATTAATTTTAAATTATCAATTTTACTGTTTTATCATGGGATAACTTATCATGGAATTATTATTTCACCCCTATAATAAATACAAGTTATCCCGATATTATTTTTAGTTCTGAAATAATTTATCCCAAAATTAGTAACCAAACAAAAAATAAAATGGTATTAAAGTTTTATCCCGTAATTAATTTTGCTTATTCATTGTATCAAACAACCCACAATGAAAATGTCATAAATTAGAACTTATCAAATATAAATGAGGATAAATAAACTAATTAAAATGCAAGATAAAGTAGAATCTAATCATTAATAGCCGAATCATATCGGTCCAATTAAAGGACAAAGCTTGTGCATTTGTGGATTACATTTAAAAAGGTTAAGCAAGGAAGGCAGTTGAAATTAAAAGTCAGATACTTCCATACAATACCAAAAAGAATGCAAATAATTGCCACTCTTTTTAGCAGCAATCCCCTAATAAATGAATAAGATACCCATCAATAATTATTTTAAACTCTATCTTGGCACAGTTACTCTTTTTCAAACAAATAATTAATGATGATAGGCGTCACTTTCATGTTAGAGTGGTTATTCACAATAAAATAATGATGCAGTAGCATAAAAAAATTAAATCCTTAATTAGTTAGTCCAAAATTTAATTTATATTAAGCTCCTATGACAAACTAAGCTTCTTAACTTGGTTTGAGATTGGTACAATCAAAACGCTAATCAATAAAACAAAACTTTAATATATTTTCTTTACTTTAGCTTTTATTATAGTTCACTTTATATAATATTTCTGCATATTCTAAGAGTATTATTCTTCCATTAATATCATATTATGTGATCTAAATAAATCGAACTCATGGGAATACTAATGAAACTCACACACGCACATAGATGAATTAGGAAAAAGAAATTCAGCTCACAGCTTCTTCTTTCATTCAATAAAGAGAAGAATGAATTACTCGTATGTTCTATACACTACCCTATATATATATATATATATATATATATATATATATATACACGTATATCTAACCACTAACTAAAATCGACAGCTAACCCATGTGTATGTAGTTACTAACTTCTAATACTTACAAATACACCCACTAACTTAAGTAAATTACATTACCCTGGCCTCATTTCATAGTCTCATTATTCCCCCTCAAGCTGGAGGGTGCAAAGATGTTAAGCAGCCCCAGCTTGGAAACCAAGTATTCATATTGTGGTTTGCTAAGTCCTTGTGTTAGGATATTCACATGTTGCTCTCTTGATTGCACATGTCTTGGTGCTACACTCCCATTCTGAACCTTCTCCCTTATGAAGTGACAGTCGATTTTATATGCTTTATTCTCTTGTGGCAAAATGGATTCTCGTCAATATGAATTGTTGCCTTGCTATCACATAGCAGTGTCACAAGCAAATTCAATTGGACACCAAGTTTTGAGTATAGTCTGACTAGCCAAATGACCTCTGATACTACAGAAGCCATGCTCATATACTCAGCTTATACTGAACTTTTAGATACTGTTGTTTGCTTCTTTGATTTACAGGATATCAATGAATCTCCAAACGTTACTAAGTACCTTGTCACTAATCTTCTTGTGTTTGGGCATGAAGCTTATTCAGAATCACAGTAGGCATTGAGCTAAGTTGCTGGCTTGCTTGACAATAAGACACCCATTCTTGATTGTCTTTTGATATACCTCATTATTCTCAATGTTGCCTCCATGTGAGATCTCTTGGGCTGTTATAAGAACTGACTCAAGGTTTGTACAATAAAGCTTATGTCTGGACTTGTCATGGTGAGGTATAGTAGCTTGCTTATCAATCTCTGATATGAGGCAACATCTTCTAAGAGTTCATCTCCCCCTTTCTATACATGATTGTCATATTCCTTGCTAGTTAACTTCAGATTGCACTCTAGAGGAGTCTATGCTAGTCTAGCTCCCCCTAAACCTGATTCTGATATAAGCTGCAAAGCATACTTTCTTTGATTCATAAAAATTCTCTTATTGGATTTTGCAAACTCTATTCCTAAGAAAAACTTCAATTCTCCTAGATCTTTTATCTTGAATGCTTGCTGCAGAATACCTTTTTGTCTCCAAGATCAAGCCTTTGTTATTTCCTGTGAACAGTAGATCATCAACATAGACAAGAACCATTGCTATCTTCTGTCCAATCTTCCTTGTTACCAAAGAATAATCTAGTTGACTTTGTACAAACCTGACTGTACTAATGCATCTACAAGCTTCACATTCTACTGCCTTGATGCTTGTTTTAGTCCATAAAGGGACTTAATAAGCTTGCATACCATGCCTGACTCCCCCTTGCTGGCAAAACCTTGAGGAATCTACATATACATTTCATCATAAAGGTCTCCCTGTAGAAAGGCATTATGCACATCCATCTGATAAATGAGCCAGCTTTGAACTGTTGCAATAGACAGAACCACTATGACTGTTACCATCTTAACAACAGGAGAAAAAATCTCCTAATAGTCAAAACCCTCCTTTTGATTATACCTTTTAGCTACCAGCCTTGCTTTGTATCTTTCTGTAGTTCCATCTGCTTTTTATTTTATTTCTAAATCCACTTATATCCTATTGCCTTCTTTCCTGGTGGCAGAGGCATAATAATCAATATCTTGTTCTCCTCCAGAGCATACAACTCAGCTTTCATTGTATCAATCCACTTGGGATCCTATGATGCCTCATGGAAAGAAGTAGGCTCAACACTTGGTGAGTAGGCTGCTATATGTGCCTGGTATTTGGGTGACAGACCTTCATATATCAAGTAGTTTCCTAGTGAGTAAACACATGAACTAGAAGCTTGTGTAGCTACATAGTCCTTTAGCCAAAGTGGTGGAGACTTCTCCATAGAAGACCTTCTCAGAGAAGTATCTGAACTCTGGGTATTATGAGCTGGGCAAGGTTGTGCAATTTCAACTCCAGCTTCAACTACAACTTCATGATTTATGTCTCTATCTACAATATCTGCTGCAGAATCGACATGTTCAGCTACTTCTCCAACAACAGGTCCTGCAGCATGTCAGCCATGTCACCTTCTTGGTAGAGAGGTGTTGATTCCTCATTACTGTCACTATTATAGTGTGTAACTTCCTGAATATTGTATGATCCTTCAGCAACATCTGGTGCAATAATGTCCTTCCATTCAGTAGTATCAGGTGAACCATTCTGAGAAGCAATTGACATAGTGACATCTTCATGATGTGGTCATTCACTAGGAACAAACAAAGGAGTTTTAGCAACACCTGTAGATTTAAAAGGGAAAATATTTTTTCTAAAGGTGACATTCCTGCTAACAAAGAAAGTTTTGTTAGTCAGATCAAATAACAGGTACCCCTTCTAAACTGTTGAATGCCCCATCATGGCACAAGCCAGTGCTCTGGGTTGAAATTTGTCTCCTATAACTAATGGAATAACATAATATAGACATCCTAGAACTCTTATGTGATCCATTGAGGAGATTCTTTTGTGAAACACCTCAAAAGGTGACTTTCCTGCAAGCACTA